GGAATACTATTGTGCTATAAGAAATGATGAGCAGGAAGACTTCAGAAAAACCTGGAAAGACTTGTATAGCCTGATGCTGAGTGAAGTGAGCAGAACCAGGAGAACATTGTACACAGTAACAGCCATGTTGTGTGATAACTAGTATTGATAGACTTAACCCTTCTCAACAATGCCAGGATCTAAGACATCTCCAAAAGTCTCATGATGGAAAATGTTATCCACATTCAGAAAAATGGAGTTTGAATGTAGATCAAAGCATACTGTTTGCTCTTTTTTTTTCCTTCTGTTTTATTTCCTCTTTCTCGTGGTTCGTCCTATTGGTTTTAATTCTTCCTTACAACATGACTTACCTGAAAATATGTTTATTAGAAATGTATATGTAGAGCCTATATCAGATTGCACATCGTCTTGGGGAGGAAGGGGAAGAAAAATTTAAACTCAAAAGCATATGGAAGTGATTGCTGAAAACTAAAAATAAATTAATAAAAAAAATACAATGAACAAATACTAAGGAGTAAAAAATTAAGAGGAAAAAAATATCCAGGAGAAGAATGAAATAATATTGCAATAACTACACCTATAAACCCAGGAAGAACAATGGAAAAACCACAAGAGCCCCCAGAGTGATGGAAAAACCTCATAAAAGAATCACCTGAAGTTAAACTCAAAAAGAAAATCAATATTTTAGAACAGAAGCTGGAAAATTTTAATGAAACAGTAGACATCATACAAAAAAAAGGGAACAGATGTAATTTAAAAAATGCAGAGATGCAACAAGAAACATTAGAACTACCTAAAAGGTAGAAAAACTGGGAGAATACATGAGGCCTCTATAGAAGGTCTAGTGTTTACCAAAGGGGAGAAAATCAAGTCATAGAATTAGAGCCTTATTACAGCCATTTAGGATAAGCCTTTATTTTACATATGAGGAAGAAACTGAGGCCTTGGAGTTTAAATGACTTGCTAAGGGTTTCACAGTTAGCCGAGGGCAGGGCTTGACTATGAATCAAGGTCCTCTGACTCCAAATCCTACAGCCAGAAAGACATGGGTCACATAGCAAAGAGCGCCAATCCAAATCATCAAAGTTTACTCATCAATGAGAAATGAAAGGTTAAAATGTGATATAATGAAAAGCAAGTATAATCTTCTTTTGGGGGGTAGGGAGGGTGGTCAGCACCTTTGATTTCATTGGTATAAGGAGCACCCACAGGAAAAACTCTCTCCGCCAATGAAGAGCTGCATTCTCTCTGCATCTCAGTCTTAGAGAGTTATTGGAGTTAATGAGAGTTTAAGTGACTTACCTAGGGTCACACATCTGGGATGTGTTAGAGATAGGACTAGAATGCAGGTCTTAATGACTCTGAGGCTAACTCTCTGTCTGCTACAACAAATTGCCTCCAGAGTATAATAGGTACTTACTACTTGGAGAAAATAAGTCATTCTGAGACAACCAGTTTTCCTCCAGTTAACTTTCTATGGGTCATTTAAGCAACTAAGAAATAGACTGTAGTTTTGGATATTCAAGGAAAAAAAGCTCTTGGCAAGGTGAGAGGAAGGGGAAACTCAGTGTATCTGGAAATCAGGCTGTCTCAAATGAAAGTCACTCATACAAAGAGGTGAGAGTAGAAACAGAGACGCTTAGCAGAAAAATGAGAGAAAATAAAGCAGTACGAAGAAGAATACATTACAAGACTGGACAGCGTATTGTTTTCTTAACCACACTTTTTAGTTACAAACAAGGCTATGGCAGGGAGGCGGGGAAGGGGTATCTGACTAAAAGGTAAAGTAGGGAGGAGACTACTTTAAGCCAAACAAGAAACAATTACCTAAGGCCTATTGGAAAAAAAAAAGTGGGGGAGATAGATGCAGTGATTTGGCTGTGAGTTAGGAGGATGGAAGATACTAGAATTATAATTTTTCAAGCAAACTGCAGATAATTAGTGCTGACTGTTTAAAAAGTGAGATAATACGACAGGACGGGGAAATGAAGGCAGGGAAAAAAACAAAACTTAACAACTCTAATTTTAAATGTCAAGGAGCCAAACTCATCCATAAAACAGAAAAGGGTCAGAATGGATTAGAAAATGAAAGCCAACCATGTGTTGCACACAAGAAATACACTTCAAGGATTCATATACAGTTAAAAGGATAAACTACAGTAGAATTTATAACATTTCAGCTAAATACGTTAAAGCAAGGGTTATAATAATGATTTCAAGACAAGGTCATAGTAAAAAAAAATTATACATATATATGCAGGCACACATATTAACATAAGTATGCATTTCTATAGCAGCCACACATATACATGCTGTCAAGAGAAACGAGGTTGAAACAGACTTCCTCTCAGCAAAAATATGAAGGAATGCAGGTGAAGGATAAGGCACAACACATTGTCAGACATGGCCAATGTACTCTTTCCTTTTGCTTAATTGTACTCCTTTGTTACAAGAGAAGTTCATATGGGGGAGGGGGAAGCCCAGTGAAGGAAGAGCAAAAATGGCATCCATAAAACATTTTACTTAAAATTATTTTTTAAAAATGAAATTAAAATAAAAGAGACAGACCAGGAAGCCTACATTATTCTCATGGATAAGGAAGTAATTTCAACATTAAATGTATATGCATAAAATACCATAGTATCTAAATACTCAAAGGAAAAACTAACTGAAATACCTTTTGGGAGATCTCCCTGCCTTGAAGCTCTCCAAACCATCCTTTACAATGCTGCAAAATTGAAAATCCTAAAGCACCAGTCTGACCACATTACCCTCGCACTTAATAAACTTCCATGGCTTTTTATTACCTTCCTCCAGGATCATCCATAAAATCCCGTTTGGCTATTCAGGCCCTTCACGACCTAGTCTCCTTACACTTCACCCCCTTTCACATGCTTTACGATTCAACAATAGTGGCCTCTTGCCATTCTGCCTCCCCACTCTGTGGATTTTCATTTCCACATTTCTGGAACATTTCTCCCTTGTTCCCTTCAACCCAAGCTTCCTTGGCTTCCTTCAAGACTCAGTTCAACTCCCACCTTCTGCAGAAGGCCCCCTTGTGTCTTCCCTATGAAAGTAAATCCATCGACACTGTGTATTTCTTGTATTTACATAATTACTTGAATGTTTTCTTCCCCATGAATGCTATTTCCTTGAATGCAGACACTGTGTCTTTGTTACATTCCCTGACACATAGTAGGCACTTAATAAACACATACTGACTGCTGACCATATACTTAAAAAGAAAAAAACTAATTATTAATCTAAAAAGAAAGTTGAAACAACTTGTTACTACAGATTATCTACAGATGCAGATTACTACAGATAATCAAGGCAGGTATTAAGGAGCATATTTCAACATACCTTTATGAAATGTGATAATGTACTCATAAGTAAATTTTAAGCAGGCAAAAATAGTAAACATATCCTTTATGGAGCAGAAACAAAATAAACACTGGACTCAATAAGGGAACCAACAAGAGACTTAAATGGAAATTAAAATTAAACTGATCAAATCTCTTAACTCAAATTCCATAGCTAAGAAGGACCTTATCCTAAAATATCATAGAAAGAGGAAAAAAGGACCCTTCTATACAAAAGATTTATAGCTATTTGATTTAAAATAGCAAAAAATTGAAAATAACCTATATGCTTAGTGATTATAGAATCTTTCTATTATTATTATATAAAGATCCCTACCACCCAGTGTAGGCATATCTATACCACAGACAATTCATTCACGTTTAAATACAGAAATTTTGCTGTACTGCTCCCCACCTCCAACTCCCCAGTGAAATAACAAATAACTTACGAAATAATGAAAATAATGACTTTTTAAATTATTTTTTACTTTTTTTTTTTTTACTATTTCAAGACAAGTCAAAAAGCATTTTATTAAGCACCTACTCTGTGCCAGGTATTCTTCTAAGCACTAGAAACACAAACAAAGACCAAAAGACAGTAATAAACAGTCCCTATTTCAATGATTTATGTTTTCTTCAGCGGCACACCTTCTAATGATGAAAATCACAACCCTGCTACATCTTAAGGGAGAGCTCTCATGAGTCACGTGACCAAAAACAAATCACAAGGAGGCCAAATTGAGAATGTGCCTCTTTGAATTTGACTAGGCTAGTCCCCAAACAAGAAACATGCTCAAAAAACCTAAACTCTGAACCTTCCCAGTGTGCTAAGACTTGCCAGAGCTTTCATCCCATGGGTCTGGTCTCACACAATTTACATTCCTTCTACATTCCACAATGAGGCAGAGGTAAGGTTGTAGGAAGAGGGTCCATTCTATACGTAAAGAAATTTGCTTATACAGGAGACAGCAGAAGAGAACTACCTTGTGTAACAGCTAGATAATTTGCCTTTCTATTCCCTATTCTTCCTTCCCTGCATCAAATATCCCAACCACTTTAGCTCCTCAAAATTGAACTATATCTCCTACCAAAATAAAAGATCCAGAGACGATCAGAAAAGAAAATTGATTTAAGACTATATGAGCATGACATTTCCCACATCTAGATGCAGATAGATAATGCAGTGAATAGAGCACCAGAACAGAGTAAGAAAGGCCTGAGTTCAAACCCAGCCTCAGACACTTGCCAGCTGTCTGACCCTATGCAAGTCACTTAAGCTCTCTCTGCCTCAGTGTCCTCATCTTTAAAATTTAAATAATAATAGCATCTATCTCTCAGGGTTGTTGAATTATTTGTAAAGCACTTAGCACAGTGCCTAGCCCATAGTAGGTGCTTAATAAATGTCTCCCTCCCACCTTCCCTGCTTTCTTCCAAGTTAAACAAACTTTTTTTATTTGCTTTTTCACAGGAGAGAAACTAGATATCAGTTCTATTTCATCTTCTGGTTCTCCAAACTGAGAATGGGAATTCCATTACTCTATTGCAACAAAATTTCAATTTGAAAAAAAAAACCCTAGAAATTGCATTTTACTGAAGAGTAATGACTTTTGCTATATTTAAAACACATTGTAAACTTACCCAAATCACAGGTGGTCTGTAATAGTGTTTCCAATTTGTAAATTTGTTGCCTGTTTTAAATAAAAGGGAAGTCAGTTCAGATAGTTTATATGATAAAAAAGACCACCTTGCAAACATTTCCAAATATAATACTACAGACTATATAATTCCTCCTATGTTTATATCAGACTTTTCCTTTTGAAACATTTTAAATGAACATCTCATAAATTCATAGTGCCTACTGAGTATTTAGGCAACACAAGCAGTGTATGATCCTCAAAGGGTCATTTCAGATAATGAAGTAATGAAGCTTTTCTGTAAGATAGAGAATTTCTCTTTCAACTCACATTCTGGCTTTCTCAGACATTCTATTAAAAATTCCAGATACAAAAAACCATAACATCATTTCATTTTATTTCCAAAAAGGAGTTGAGTAGGTCTTAACTATAATGTTCAAATCCCTTTAACAGTATAAGATTATGTTTGTTCTGAATGTGCTTACAAAACTTTTACACAGCAATAAAACAATTACATAACATATGTACAGGGAGAAGCACCCAGGTATAGAGGATAAAAAGCCAGCTAGGTTCAAGTCTTGCCTCTCCCAAACACTGGTTATGTGACCATGAATTAAGTCACCTCACTTCTCAGTACACTAGCCAACTCTCTCAGACCAGCAGTTACATGTGATTTGCATTCCTGGAAGAAGTTTCCACATCTTATGATAATGAGGTCTAGATCAAAAAGGACAGCATATATAATAGTGCAATTAGAACCCAAAAAAGGGAAATATCAAGAGGGATGGTGTTTTTTAAAGCAAATAATAATAGTTTGTTACATATAGATACAATTGTTACTATAAATATAGCTCTTTAAAGTTTTCAAATAATCTTCATACACTAACTCCTTTGAGATCCACAACAATCACCCTCTGAGGCTCTATAGGTATTATTATACCCACTTTGTAGATGAAGAAGTAACCACAGAGAATTTATTCGATTTGCCCAAATTTACATAGCAATTAAGTATGGAAGACAGGATCTGCACCCAGATATTTCTAAATGAATTCAGCATTCTATTTACTGTATAAGCTGCCGCTTAAGGCACTACTAACTTAAGATGCCAAATTCTATTTCTATTTACCTTATATTAATTCTATTTACCTTATAACTCCTGGAACAGCCACCCTACATTCATTGTCTATAAAATTCTCTCATTCCATATCTTTGCCCCATTGAAACAACCTTAACCAGGGTCTCCTAGAATAATCTCCCATATGCAGGAAAGAACTGGACTATTCAATTCCCTTTTACATGCATCAAAAATACTTTCTTACTATGGGCTTTTGGGTGATGTCACTCTCTTAAGCTTTCTACTGTCTTCAACAACAACTTCAAAGAATTATCAAAGTGGATTTGACATGTTTTTTAACACAACCAGGAAGAGATTTTGAAATTTTAAGTCTAAGCTCCACAAGTTATCAAAAGAGCTCAACATTTAGATAAGCAAAATGTCTTTTTTTAATATTCCCCCCCCCCTTTTAGATAATTTAGGGTCATATGATTACTGGGAGGGACTTTGGAAGTCACAAGCAACACATATTTTGAAGATGAAAAAACCCAAGACCTGGACTGATGAAGTCATTTATACAACGTCATTTCAGTTGTAAAATAGTAAACAAATATAAAGTGCCAGAAAGAATAGGCTTATTAAGAAACACACTAAAAAGATAATTCAGTCAAATTTACTTTTGTTGGAAGATGAAAATGTTTAAAATGTTCAAAATAAGCTTTATAACTTTCTGGCTTCTCAAGCAATTAGGTTCATTACTACCTGCTCACCAATGCTACTCCTTCCAACCCCCTCAAAACACACACACACACACACACACACACACACACACACACACAAACACACACACAAAATACCTGCATAAAGAAAAGAGATCTTTAGAAGAATTCACTAATGCAATTTCAGTCACCCACTGGAAGCCAAAGAGTTCCACTATATCATCTTCAAAGTTGGTTGGTAAAGGGTCCAAGCTAAGCATCAATCTGAAATATGAACATTTAGACTGAGTCATAGCCTTTTGGTATATACTTCAAAGAAATTATTGTGCTACATGCTGTAAGACAAAACATTTTTTAATTGTGGTATGACAACATTAGTTCACTCAATAATATCATCCTTTCTGTTCTGCGAATACAGCACTCCATCTCTTAACTTCATTTTCGCTGTTATCCTCCATGCATGGAATGCTCGCCCTCCCCTTCTCTACCTTCTTGCTTCCTTTAAGTCTCATTTAAAGTCTTAAATTTTGCAAGAAGCCTCTCCCAGTCTTCCTTAATCAATGTCTTCCCTCTGAGATTACCCCAATTTGTCCCATATACATCTTGTTTGTATGGAGCTGTATATGTGTTTCTCTCCCATTACACAGTAAGCTCCTTGAGATAAGGGACTTTTTTTTTTGCTTTCCTTATATCCCTAATACTTAGCATAGTAATTGACACATAGTAGGCACTTAATAAGTACTAGCTGATTGACTGATAGACAATAAAACATCTATTGTATACCTTCCATATCCAAGGCTCTGAGAAACAAAAGTAAATAAAACATGACCCCTTCCCTCAAGCTTATAAAGTATCAGGCAATGAAGTATTCACCTCACAAACTTATAACAAAACTAATAAAAGTACCCTGGTACAATACAGAGCCTGGTGTGCTGTAGGTCAACGTATGTCTCATAGACAGCAATTTGCAAGATGTCCCTATGAAGTAATCTTTTAAAAAGAGAATTAGGTTACAACACACTCTCTTGATTAATGATGGCAAATCTTGGTCTTGTTAGGAAGTACATTTGACTTTGAAATCTAGTTAAAAGTCATTCTGAGCAAAGCCTGTTGAATAAAGTGATTGAAAATACTGGAATAAATACATGACATAATTATAAAAGGTCATATACTAAATAAAATAGAGACCCAAGGAAAAAATACTTTTTAAAATTGTGGATGCAGACTAAAATAGATCATTTTGATTACATAAATTTAAAAAGTTCTTGCAAAAACAAAACCAAATCAACTAAAATTAGAAAGGAAATCGAATTTCTTTTTTAAAGAACTCATTTCCAAGATATACAAAGACCTGATTTAAATTCATAAAAGTAAAAGCCATTTTCCAAGTGATAAATGGTCAAAGGACATAAACAAGAAGTTGTCAAGAGTAGAAATCTAAGCTATCAATGGCCAAATGAAAAAAAATGCTCCAAATCACTAATAGAAAAATAAAAATAAAGAGCAACTCTAACGTTCCACCTCCAGCAAAGATGACAAAAAAAGAAAATGACAAATGTTGGCAGGGTTGCAGGAAAACTGTTAGAGGAGCTACGAACTGTTGTTAATCATTCTGGAAGGCAATTTGGAACTGTGCCCCCAAATTCACTAACCTGTGCATGCCCTTGGATCTAGTGATACCACTAATAGGCCTATACCTCAAAGAGATCTAAAAGAGGGGAAAGGTTATATATAAAAAAAATTTATAGCAGCTCTTTGTAACAGTGATGAACTGGAAACTAAGAGGGTGCCTATCAACTGAGAAATGGCCAAGCAAATTATGTATATGAATATAATAGAATGCTATTGTGCTACAAGAAATGATGACAGGGATGGGTTCAGAAAAACCTTCTAAGACTTGTATGAAATGATGAAGAGTGAAGTGAGCAGAAGCAGGAGAACAACTTATAGGACATCGTCAAGACAAATAATTTCTGAAAGACTTAAGAACTCTGATCAACACAGTGATCAAGCACATTTCATAGGACTGATGATGAAACATGCTACCTATCTCCTGAAAGAGGTGACTGACTCAGGATGAAGTATGAGAAGTATATTTTTGGACATGACCAATGTGGGAATTTGTCTTGCTTGTCAATGCATATTTTTACAAGGGTTTTGTTTTTCAAGAGGGGGGAGGCTGATAGGAGAGAGAGAAAATAAATGTTTGTTAATAGATAAAAATAAAAGTCCAAAAGAAAAAGATAACAAAAGTGTTACCATAAAGTAACAAGTTAAATTTTTGAGTTAAGTAAACTGAAAGCAATTTCAAAATAGGAGGTCCAAAATGTTAAGCAACATAAATAGCTTTGTGAAAGTATTACCTTAAAATTCAAAACTCATGTTAATGTATAAATTTCACATGTGCTTTTTTTAAAAATCACATTCATTTTCAGGTTCTACACATACACACATATAGTATAGCCTGAAACAGACATATACACACACATATTTACATATACATATATTTATACATATTTACATATACACACACATATATACAGCCTGAATATGAATATATGAAGGATATGATATATATCATATATATTGATTATATGTGTGTGCATATATAATATACATATATGAATGAAAAAAGAGGAGGGGAAAAAAACCTATGCCAAAATATAGTACCCTTCTAAGAAAGTTTCAGTTTAACAACTATATATTACTAATTATATAGTATTATTAATATATTAATATAATGTAATATGCTAATATTTAATTAATATGTAATGTATTAACATTCGATTAATAATGTAATTACTATATTAATAATATATGATTAATACAATTGTGCAATGTTATATATTATTAATATATAATTACTAATGCTATTATATATTAATATACAACTAAAAGGGTCTCAAATCTCCTACTTTCCACCACCAAATTAAGACCATTCAGAAGAGTCCACCTAATGTCAGATCTTGACTCTACTGAACCATCTTGGGGGTGTTCTCAGCAAGAAGCCAGGAGCAGGATTTAAGTGTATGAGGCCAAGTGTATTTCTTAAGCATGGCAAGAGCAGGACCAAAACGTGGACGCGAATCAATATAATATTCCTATAAAGTCTATCAATTAGCCGTTCACAACAAAGCCATTAATGAACTAACGAGGGAGAACAAAGCTCCCAGTTCTTACCTCTTCAGAGATCCACTTGCCAGGTGGGAATCCGGAGAAAAACTTTTCCTTCCATCAGAGGCACAAGAAAAGCAAGGGGGTCTACACCATTCCGTCTCCAGCTCAAGCTCCAAACTTTCAGTAAGAAATGAAGACGCCTCGGGGTGGCCATCCATTGCTTACACGGTTCCCTGAAATAAGTTTCGGGTTGCTGTGGTTTTAAATCGGCACAAGCAGGCTGGTTTCAACTGGGAGGGTGAAAAGCGATAGCAGGGTTTCCAAGGAGACTTTCCAAACTGGCTAGGATGGCGACAAGATCAAGTTCAGCTAGAGAGCAACCTCAGTTTTCTTCTCTGTAAAATGGGAGTGGTGAGATGGCAGCAGACGTCCCTCTTCGGTCAGTTCTAGGCTTGCAGGACAGGCGGGGATGAAGACAAGCAACAAGGGGAGGGGGAAAGGAGAGGGGGCGGGCAGCTTGGGCCTTTGCAGGGTTCCAGGCTGGACACCCCCACCTCTTAGGCGCTGCTCCCCTGGGCGCCTGTCCCGCACAGTGCGGAGGGGTTGGGGTGGGGAGGGGAGGGGAGGCAGGACCTGGCTGCCCTTGGCATGAGGAGAGGAGCGGGGAATCAGTACCTGGCCACCTGGCACCACTCCAGTCGCTCGGCCCAAGCTCAAGGGGCTCAGCCCAGCCACCACCGCTTTGCGCCAGGGCCGGAAGAAGTAAAATTCCCGCCACCACGCACTCGCGCGCCCAGGAGGAGGCGGGGCTTAGCCGGGCGATCAGCCCGTCCCGCCCCAAGTTCAGGCTCCTCCCTGCTAGCAAACCCTGGGCGTCCCGGCCGGGCAGCAGGGAAGACCGGAAGATCTCGCGAGAGCAGATCTCCCGGGGACTGCGTTCTTTCCGACCTTCCCATTGAACAAGAGTGACGACAATCAGTGGGCTGGGGGCGGAGCTGCGACTGGAAATTGAATGAGTTGCGCGTGCGCACTTACTAATACTACCACCCCCTTTTCATCCCGCTCTCTGGGAGAGTCCCCTGAATGAACCTGAAGTTAGCTTAACATGTCCTCGTACTGCTGTTGTTCACTCCCTAAATTCAAGGGCTTTTTTTCTATTGGGACCTTGGAATTTAGGATCATAGATTTTGACCTGGAAGGGACCTTGTTCAGTGTTCAGTCATTTCAGTCGTGTACGACTCATTTTGAGCCCATTTGGGTTTTATTGGCAAAGATACTGAATTGCTTTGTCATTTTCTTCTCCAGCCCATTTTACAGATGAGGAAATGGAGGCAAACATGGTCAAGTGACTTGCCCAGGATCACACAGCTAGTAAGTGTCTAAGGTGGGATTTGAACTCAAAGTCTTCCTGGCTCCCAGCCACAAGGAAGGAATCTCAGAAATCATCTAATCCAAACCCCCTGCTTTTACAAATGAAGAAACTGAGGCCCAGAGAGATGAAATTACTTTACCAAAATCACATAGTAGAATGGTACACCTGGGAATTGAATCTAGGGTGTTTTTTTTTTGGGGGGGGAAGGTCAGTTCATCTTCATTAAACAATTATGAACTAGGTACTGTGCTAGTAGCACAGGATACAGAGAAAGGCAAAACCCCGCCCTTTCCCTCAAAAGAGCTTGTATTATAATAAGAGACAAACATGCAACTATAAGTAGATATATACATAATTTATACAGCCTAGATGGAAAGTTACCTCAGAAGAGAAAACACCTGAAGCTGAGAGAGGAGGAGATTGAGAGTGGCAAGACTTCCTGTATAAATTGGAATTTGAGCAGAGGTTTTTTTGTTTTGTTTTGTTTGTTTTTTTTTAGCAGAGTTTTAAAGGAAACCAAGGAACCTAAGAGATGGAAGTTAAGAAAATTTGTTATTAAAGAGCTAGGGCCATCAGGTCCGAGCTTCCTACAAAGGTGAAGTCAGAGATCTTGATTTTAAAGGGGGAAAGTGGGAGAGGGGCATATAACACACAAGTTCTTAAAAAGAATCTGTTAAAAGACTTTCCAGTCTCAATTTTTGAAGCAACCACAATCCGGTATCTCTTCCTCTTTAGCCAGGCAATTTTTCCTTACTATTCTAAATCCATCCTGCTCCAATTCAATATATTTTCTGCTTTCTCTTCTGTTCAGTACCATCTGTCCAGCAAACCTTTCCTCACTTGTAAAGGGGGGAAATGTAAATCCCTTGATTCTGTGAATAAGGAGATGAATGAATGAATACCCTCTATTTTGTTGGGGATGGGAGGACAATTGAGTAGGGTTATTGCAAAAGTTACTAACTCCAAACAGTTGATGAAAACTAAGTTCTTTAGAACCAAATGACTGAGTTCTTTATCTGATTTCTTTAACTATCCTGTTCATTATTCTCCCCAGGTTCATGCTGCTTCCTTGAACCCATTTCATTAACATTAGTACTTCTTCCATTAGTTCAGATGGAATTTGACAATAGTCTTCTTACCTTGTGATTCTTGTCCTATTGTTCCTATAGCCTCTGTAGATGATCTTGTGGGTCTCAACATTTCATGAGTATCAAGGCAACACATGTCCATTTGTTATCCTTTGCTATCACAAATCTACCTCGTTTTTTGATCATAGATTTTTAAATGACAAGTTTATAGCCAGAAGGGGACCTAAAAAATCATCTAGTTCAACCCTTCATTTTACACATGAGAAAAGTAAGGCCCCGAAGACATTCTAACTTGCTGAAGCGTTCTGTCTCTCTCGTTCTCTCTCTCTCTCTCTCTCTCTCTCTCTCTTCTCTCTCTCTCTCTCTCTCTCTCTCTCTCTTCTCTCTCTCTCTCTCTCTCTCTCTCTCTCTCTCTCTCTCTCTCTCACACACACACACACACACACACACACACACACACACACACACACACACAATAACAGAGCCAGGATTCAAGTATATGTCCTTGGACTCCAAATCAAGCAATCTTTCCAACATGCCACTTTTTGCAAGTAAATCATCTTTGATAACATATTGCAGTCTGTTTAACATTGGTATGCATCTCTCCAGTACTACTTGCTTTACCTACAATTTTCATTCTTCAGACGTTATAGTGCTATTCCATGATTCATAGCCATATGGCATTACTTAAGGAATACTGATGTTAAACAATGTAATTCAGCCCATTTTTTCCTCCTGTTGTGCCCTCATAATTCAGGCTCCGATTAATCAATTTGTTAAACCTAAAATGAATATTATAAGGTAAGGATATAATTAATAATATATTTAATGGAAAGGAGTGTTAATAAAATGTTGCACACTATACCAAAAATTTCAGAAAAGTCAAGTTTATTCTTTGTAAATGGCAAACAAACATCCAGTGGAATGTAGCTGTCTTCTTTGGGGTTTCCCCAGAAATGCGGGGACTGCTTAAAGAGAAATTTCTCATAAACTACATTTGTGCTTTAACCCCAAAAAGTAGTAAGTTGAGTTTCCTTAACAAATATATTCCAATTTGTAATCCCTTAACTTTTCAGTTTATGTATCCAGGTTATAACGTATAGGTGAGCTAAAAGAGGGCAGATAAATGGCCACAGTGAAATCTCATAGATTCAAAGAATGTTAGAGCAAAAAAGAGACCTTGGAAACATTTGCAGATGAGAAACTGAGAACCAGAGAGACTATGGAATATACTGAAAATCACATAGCTAGTCTTAACTTCCAGTCCAACATTCTTTCCACTATAGTATACAATATTTCCTTGGGAAATATAGGTGAGAAAACATGCTGAACCCTTCTTTCCAAGCCCCTAGTTCCTTTAACCCTACACAGTGGCACTTGATCCAAGCTTCCCTACCCTTCATTCTGAGCTCTGATCTATTAAAACTCATATTTTTCAGTGTAGCTGATCTCAAGTAAATATTAGGAGAAGGGAATCTAATTCACATTAATGTTAACCCCTCAAACTTCCCAGAGACATTTGCATTTTTAAAGAGATTGTTACCTAATATAAATGAATCTGTAATTGGAAGGATTCCAGGCATTATATCAAAGTGAAATTTTAAAATCCAGTTAATATGGAGCAAAGGTTCTTTGTGAAAGGGTCCAGAATGCTTATGCCTGGGAGAATTCCTTCCTATATCACTTCACCTGAGCTATTGCTGCTATTCCATTCCTCTGTTGACAAAAAGAAGAAGAAATAAAGAAAAAAAGAAAGAAGAGAAAGGGAGGAAAGAAGAAGAAAAATTGATTCCCTTTTCCTAAAAAAAAATAATGCTCTCACATCCCAGTCTCTACCTCTCAAAAAGAATCTTCCCTTGTAGAATACTGGACACCAGTGTCAATTGCTTATCAACTGAGATGAGAAGACAAGCTTTCTTCATTCCTAAGAAAGGAGGAAAGGGAAGAGAGATCTCAAGAGAGACAATGCCATAATAAAGTGGAAGAAGTTGAGGAAAGAGGCATCACCAAATACTGCTGCTGCCACTTTAACCATAGGCAAAACAGCTAGAGGAATAATACTGAGAAGCAATGGTGGCAGAGCAATGGAACAATTACAGACTTGACTGTAGCTATCCCTGTTGCTAAGAACAAAACTAATACTATCCAAATTCTTCACCTTTACTATTGCCTTCCCTTGGGAGATCACTGAGCTCTTCAAGAGTCTTGGGGATGGGAGGGGATACAGTTAGCCTTGAATGAAACTGGTTTGTCCAAACTAATGTGTTCACTCATTGTACTCATGAGCTGTGTGTATGTCCAATAGGACAATTAGGGTTTAAGTGCAGCTGAAGGGTAGGCAATTGTGTGTCAAGGTACCTGGAAGGAGAGATTGATAAACGTGATTAAAGCTAGGACATCTTTCTCCACAAAATTATGAGGGTTTGTAACTAGACTGAAAGAGATGTTATTGATTTGAATGTAATGACTTTTTGAGAAATTACTGACATACTGGTATTTTTACTTCAGTTGCCCAAAGATTTCCTCTCAGCCTCAAGAGCAATTTGGACTGTTTGAGCCAGGAAGTGGTTGAATTAAATTAAGAGTATTAAAAAAGATAGACAAAGTCTTTAAGAGAATAGATAGAAAGAAGGAGTTGGGACTTCATCAGTTAGGCAGTGGGAGTGTTCAGCCCTGCATTAAGATTTGACAAGCTGAGCTGGAAAGAAGCAGCAGCACATGAGCAGTGGAGAGACAGAGAGAGACAAGGACAGAGAGAGAGCACTGAGCTAAAGCAGAGAAAAGAGTGATTAAAGTTGACCAATAAGTCCCTGCAGGCATCCTGGAAGCAAGTACTTGGAATGAAGCTACTGGTTGTAATTAGCTCTTCAAGGATTGAGAGATGTTCCAGAAGTTCTACTCTTTCCCTAATCTTCCTTTTCTTTTCCCAATTTCCTTTCCCTTCCCCATGCTTGTCAGATGTTATATACTCTTCACACTTAAAAATTTTTTTATGTGATTCGTGGATCCTGATTTTGCTTTATATATGGAGAAACTGGGGGTCAATCATGAAAGCTTGCATTGTATATTAATCCATGCTGAGAAAATGAGACTAGAGAATGCCATGGATTAGCTGGAAATATACAAAATAAAATTAGGATAGAGAGCCAAACTTTTGCCCAAATGTTAGGAATTTTCCTAAGGGGTGAGGGATGGAGAGGTCTGAGCTATTATGGCTATATCAATAACTTTTTATCTGACATAAACTCCATAAAATAGGAGAGAGGGGAATCACATGTAACCTAAATCACTATTCAGGGAAGGAGAGAGGAAAAGCCTGAGGATTAAGGAGGAAGTAGAAAGGTTTGAATACT